AGCCTTGCCTTTGAGAAGACCTCCCCCAAAATTTTCGAGAAACAAATCATAAATCTTGCGAGGAACAAATCATCAATCTTGCGAGGAACAAAAAGAGAGACCGATCTCCCTACTGACAAAAGGCCAAACCTTAGCAACGAAAGGGCAATGGAGGAACAAGTGATCAATGGTCGTATCTGAAGGGGAGAGAGACCAGTAGGGGTACTGACGTTGAAGTCTGTCAGTCGTATCGATGCTCCTGTAAAACACTGACCAAAGAAATATCTTCACCTTCTTAGGCACCTTGAAGTTCGAGATGTAGGTTACCACAGGTGCTTGTAGCTTGGGGGATGGTTTGGACAAGTACAAAAATGCTGATTTGGCCGAGAAAACTCAACTGCTATCAGCCTTCCACCACAACTTATCTTTCCCTTCACCCAGCTGCAAAGAGTCTAGCTTCTCCGTAAAGTTAGCCCATCGTGGGATCTCTCTGTCAAACAAATTTCTTCCCAACCCCAAGTCCCAGGCTAGGGAGGACTCACCCAACAATCTGCCACCACACAGTCTTTCTTATTCGAAATCCTATAGCACTCGGGAAACGTCACAGAAAAAGGAGATGTGTTAATCCACACATCCTCCCAAAATCTCACTCTCCCCTTGGAGGCTTTGAAGATAACAAACTTCAAAAAATCACCTCTAGTTTTATCAATGTTAAGCTAGGGGCGACCTCTAGTTGAGACCTTCAGAAGTTTAGTCGTCCAACCATGGGTCTCAACACCATAAATAGCTCCAATAACCCTCCTCCACAAATTGGATTCTTCATGAGCAAATCTCCCGTGCCATTTAGAAGCAACGATCGATTCCTTTGTTTTAAAAATCCCACCCCGAGCCCCCCTCTTTTTTTAGGCAACGAAGCCATGTTCCAATTCACCAAATGACTACCTTTCTTGTTATTTCCCCATTCCAAATGAAATCCCTGATAAGCTTCTCCATCTTCAAGATCACAGCCTTAGGAGTTTTCGAGATCGAAAAGTAATAAACCGGAATGCTATTCAAGCTCATGACACTTCGTATGGTTGGGCCGGTTTCAGCTTAGCTTCCAAGCTCAGAAATCTTAAAACACCCCTCAGACAGTGGTATGTGCAACAGGAGAAACTGAAAAAGGCAAGCGAAAGGAAGATTATTGAAGACATTCTTGCTATTGACCATTTAGAAGAATCTGTTGGCATTTCAGCAGTAGATAAGGAGAGGAGATGTTCTCTGAAGGCTGATCTTTTAAACCTATATATAGTGGAGGAAAGAAATCTGATCCAAAAAAGCAAACTTCATTGGTTAAAAGAAGGGGACGAAAACACTGGTTTCTTTCACAGATATTTGGCAGCCAGGAAATGAAAGTCCATGATTTCAGAATTAGTAGATGAAAGAGGCTCCTCCTTAGTCACGCAAGAAGAGATTGAAACCGAAATTATCAACTTCTTTGATAAGTTGTATACTAAAGAACAGACCACAAGATTTTCGCCAAGAAACATTGATTGGAGACCTATTTCCAACCAAGATCGTTTGTGGTTGGAAAGGCCTTTTGATGACAAAGAAATATGGTTGGCTTTGAAAAGCCTTGGGAAGAACAAAGCCCCTGGTCCAGATGGGTACACCTCTGACTTTTTTCTGAAGTTTTGGCAGCAACTAAAGGGTGATTTTCGGCGGTTATTCGATGAGTTTTACCTAAATGGGCACATTAATAAGTGCCTCAAAGAAAACTTCATCTGTTTAATTCCTAAGAAAGAGGCTGCGGTGAAAGTAAAAGACTTCAGGCCTATAAGTCTTACTCACTCCATTTATAAGATAATCGCAAAAGTCTTAGCGGATCGCATAAAAATTTCTGAAACTCAAAGTGCATTCATCGAAGGAAGACAAATTCTGGACCCGGTATTAATAGCAAATGAAGTTGTGGCAAATTATAAAAATCGAAAGTAGAAAGGGTGGCTCATTAAGCTAGACATTGAAAAAGCATTTGATAGTGTGGGGTTTTCTTGAAGAAGTACTTAAACAGAAAGGTTTTGGTAGAAGATGGATTCAGTGGATCAATGGTTGCGTGAAAGATACTCAATTTTCTATCTTCATCAATGGAAGGCCAAAAGAGAGAATTAAAGCATCAAGAGGTCTAAGGCAAGAAGACCCTCTTTCTCCTTTCTTATTCATCTTGGTGAGTGGTGTATTAAGTAGCCTTTTGGAGTACTCTCATTCAAAAGGCTACTTTGAGAGCTTTCTCGTAGGGACTTCTAATGTACATATTTCTCATCTTCAATTCGCGGACGATACTCTTCTTTTTTGCAAAGATGATAATGACATGTTGCGAAATCTTTTCAAATCCATTCAAGCCTTTGAATGGCTGTTTGGTATGAAAGTAAATTGGGAGAAATCAGCACTATGTGGAGTCAGTATAAGGCAGCAGCGAGTTTTTCAAGTGGCTGGAAGTTTCAATTGTAAATTTGAAGCATTGCCTATAATGTATCTAGGTTTACCCTTGGGTGGTAATCCAAAATCGCAAGAGTTATGGAAGCCGCCGGTTATGGAAAAGATAGCAAAGAAGCTGGATAGATGGCGCCGGTTCCATTTGTTTAGAGGAGGGCATATGAAACTTTGTAAGTCTATTTTATCCAACATCCCCACTTACTATCTTTCATTATTTCACTTGCCATCTAGTTTCTGCAAGGAGGTGGAGAAAAGGATGCAAAATTTTTATTGGGAAGGCAACAGTAAAGCTTCCTTGAAGCATTTAGTCCAATGGAACATTGCTTCCTCTTCATTGGAGGCGGGAGGCTTGGGGATTGGTGGCATACAGCAAAAAAACAGGGCTTCGTTAGCAAAGTGGGGCTGGCATTTTTGCAATGAACCATCATCCCTTTGGAGAAAGGTTATTGTAAGCATATATGGTTTGGATACATATGATTGGAAGACTTTGGAGAAGCGGTCTGGTGGTGTTCGTAGTCCTTGGTTCCATATTGCTAAGCAATGGGACAAAGTGGAACACTTTTGTTCCTTCACTGTGGGTAATGGCAAGCGCACAGATTTTGGTCTCATATTTGGCTTGGAGACAGAGCATTGAAGGACAAATTTCCATCTTTACATCGAATCTCTTCTAGCCCAACAGGTTCAGTCTTTAATCATTGGCATTCAACCGCTAATTCTTGGAGAATTGAAACTAGGCATTTGTTGAAGGATGAGGAAATTGAAGCTTTTTCGGAGTTGTTGTCCTCTCTCAGTCACATCTCCCTGAACTCTAATGAGGATCAACGAAGGTGGGTGATTGATCCTTCCGGCTTATTCACGGTTAATTCTTTATGCACAACATTTCGTTCTTCTTCAAGCTTTTCACAGGATGTTTTCAAAGCCATCTGGAAATCTAAAAGCCTTAAAAAGGTCAGCTTTCTTACTTGGATTTTGATTCAAGGAAAGGTGAATACAGCCAACATTCTCCAAAGGAAGAATTCTAGCATGTTCTTGTCTCCTTCCATGTGCATATTGTGTAAGAATAGTGATGAGCAGCCGTCTCATTTATTTTTCCATTGCATTTTCTCCAAGCTTTGTTAGAGTTTCTTTTCCAGCCATTCTCGTTACAGTGGGTGTTTGATCAAGCTGTCCCAAATAACGTCATTCAACTCCTAAGTGTATCGGGTTTAAACCTTAAAGCTCGGCTTCTATGGATAAATGGTGTCAAAGCCTTATTTTCCGAAATTTGGTTTGAGCGGAACCAACGAATATTTGAAGAGAAAAGGAAGTCTCCAGAAGAATGCTTCTGCATTGCAAAGGTGAAAGCTTCACATTGGTGTTCTCTAGATGCCTCTTTCTCTAATTATTCTCCTAGTATGATATGTTGTAATTGGGAGAGCTTTATATCTCCCTTCTAAGTTTGATTTTGGTTGTCTTTGGGACTCTTATATTTTTTGTTTTTTTTTGTCTTTAGTATTCTCTTCTTCACTCCTATGAGAGTTTGTATCTTTGAACAATTTTGTTCCTTTTCATTTCTTCAATGAAAAGTTCGTATCTTGTTCTTGAACAAGAAACAACTTTTCATTGATATATGAAAAGGAGAAAAAGTTCAAGGATACAAACTCTCAAAGGAGAGAGAGAAAAAGAGAAAAGAAAAAAGAAGGGCTTAGTCATCAAAGAAAGGATTTACGAAGCAGAAATCACTAATATGCTCGTATAAAGCGTGCATGATTTTATACCAATCATCGTGGAAGTACTTCTTGACAATGATGATGGAGTCTAATTGCGTGTTGACATTAGGGTAGAAATCAATGGCTTTACAATCTTGCCAGTTACTCAACACTTGTGGGGTATATTAGGGCTCTTGGAGGCTTCTAAATGACTTTTTTCCCTTCCCTACGGATGTCTCAGTCAGTGTTTTCAAGTGGCAAGGGGTGAGGTGTTCTGGGCCTGTTGCGCCTTGAATGCCACCTAGGGGAGCTTCTTAAATCAAGCGCTTGCCTTGGAACGCGATCGCCTTGTCAAAGGCGGGCGAGCATCCCTTTTTTTCTTTATAATTTAAATGCTTTTAAATTAGAAAAGCCCACGAAATAGATGTAAAACCCCTAAAGATGCACTGCGTGCCTATGAAGTATGAAGCCTCACGCGACGGATCTCCTTCTTCTTCGTCTATTCTTCCTTTGCCGGCGACTTCTTTCTTTGCTTATGACTTCTCCGCCGATGCTTCTTTAGACTTTTGGCACCGTCCACCTTTTCGTTCGCTGGCGCTTCTTCGTACTTCAAAACTGAAAGGTTTCTTCTTTGCTTTCCTGGCTTTTTTTTTTCATTTACTTTATTTTCTTTTATTTCTCTCTTTTAACCCTTCTTTTCTTTCGTGTTTTTTTCCCTTTCCTTTACTTTCTGTTTTCTTTTTCATTTCATTTCATTTATTTATTTCTCTCTTTTTTTTTTCTTTTCCTTTACTCACTTCACAACAGATTCTTTCTTCTTTTATTTTGTTAATATATGTAGGTTGCTAAAGAGGAGCATAGGAATTCAAAACTAATGAATGCTCTTGTAAGATTGCATCGAGAAGTGAGGTATGAAAGAACTTCTTGTCACNTTCATTTCATTTCATTTATTTATTTCTCTCTTTTTTTTTTCTTTTCCTTTACTCACTTCACAACAGATTCTTTCTTCTTTTATTTTGTTAATCTTCCCATTTTGATGTCTCCTTTTAACATTTTGATGTAATCACTATTTAGTATTGTTCTTTTATAGTTTGGATCTTTTAAAATTATTTTACCATATAAATTTATGCTCTATATATAATTTTTATTTATTTATTAAGGTGCACCTCGCTTCACTCAGGCCTCACCTTTTTGTTGCCTTTCGCCTTAAGGCGATAAAAGGCTTGTCGCTTTGAGGTGCGCGTTGCGCCTTGGAAACACTGGTTGCAGTAGGTAGTTGAGCCATTTATTGAGGGGCATTCTGTGGTAGCTAGTGCAAAAGTGGATGTAGTAAAGGGAGGTGAAGATGGTACGAGTGGGTAGTTGCTGACGAGGCTATAAAAAACTTTCTATCCCTTTTTTCTTCTCCTATGGGGACTAAGATTTAATTCCCCATTGTTATCCATTTTTTGCAATTTCAGTTAGATTCCCTTTTCAATTCGAAGTCTTTTCTACCCTTAGTGTTTGATCATCAATATAAGTTTCTCTGAAAAAATTCTGGTTTAGGGGGCATATAGAAGAAAGGAGAAGGTGTTTTTGAGCCATGACAATGAGGACCGATGGATGGACATGAAGTAGGATCTATGCTTAGTAGTTTATGAATTTTTTGCTTTGATTCCTCTATATCTATAATCACTTTATATTGTAAAACGTTTTCTCTCTATTGTTTTGTTGCTGAATGGGAGTGTCTTACTATCCATCATTGCAAGCAGTCAATGCTATAACAGAGGCCATGGTAGGGTTTCGGTGATGCAAGGTGGGACGTTGAGGGAGAAGGGGGATAGAGAGAGAGGCCATTTTTTCAACCATATTATTATTATATTTGATTTAATGATGGATATTTTCAACCAAAAAAAAAATGTTCAATCACTTCATAGACTCCCTCTATAAGAATGCACATTGACATTCTCCAGTCTCTCTTGGCAATGCACATTCTCAATCTTTTGCCCCTAAACACTCAATATGAAATCCTGTTCTATTAGCTTATCCTCCAAACACTTATAATAAATTGTCTTTCTTCCCTTTTGAAGCTCTTCTTCTAAAAGTTAGATTTTAATTTATTTGGCAGTCAGATAACTTTCCTGACCTTTTATTTTATGTTTCCATTATTTATAGATATTTTCTCTAGAAAAAACAACTGATGAGTTGGAAGATCGATGCAAAAGACTACACAATGGATGTAAAATGTTTATGTAAGTGCTGCATTTTTATTTCTTTCCACCATCCATGTTAAGGAATGAATAGAGCTTACTCTCCCTCACCTTCTTTGGTTGGTCTGGGTAGTTGTGATTATAAAATGTATTAATCTCATCATTATCATGCTAATCTTTAATTTCTTCATCATTGTATTAAATATTTTTTTACAACTGGGATTTCTTAATTTTCGTGTTATTTAATTTTTTCATTATCATATGTGAATTTGGATATCTTCTTGATAAAAGAGATCAATTGAATATGGTTGATAGAGAAATGGTGAGATCTGTTATAGAGTTCAAATCAAACAAAGTGGATCAAAGTATAAGATTTTGGTTGATCAAGGGGTTTGCTACTTCTATGGGATGAAGGAAAAAATGGGAGTAGATGTGCTAATCGGTGCCTACTCCGTAACAATAATGAGATTGGTAATGAAGAAGGAATTGGGGCTCCAATATTTATGGCACTCCCAATAAGGATTTTTGGGGATTTTTTTTTTTAGATAAGAAACTTGTATATTCCAAACAAAGGAAAAAAAGGAGACAACCTAAGGGCTGGGGTAGAGGGAACCCTCCCACCCAAGGACTAAACCAACACTTTCCAGTTGTTCATGATCATGGAGATGTTGTAATTACAAAAAAATTTCTTGTAATTTATGCACCACCAAGAAGCAGTGTGCTGTACATTTCTAAAAAAAAATGTCAAAAGTAGAAGACTTGTTTTTGAAAACATGAAGATTTCTTTCCAACCAGAGGTGCCATAAAATGGCTCTCGTAGCACAATTCCACAAAAAACTTATCCTTTTTAGGGACATTTCAACCGTGAAGAACTTCAGATAACTAACCATCTATTTGTTTAAGGAATTAAGTAGATACACCGAAGAGGTCCAAGAGAAAATACCAAACTTGAGCAGAAAACGGACAAATGAATGAAAAGATGATAAATGGTCTCATTGCTGGCCATACATAAGTTGCAAATAGAGGGGGAGAGAATCCATCTAATGCACTTCTTTTGAGAGTCTCATGAGTATTTAAGCTTCTATATGTTGGGACCATAGAAACACCTTAACTTTATTTGGAGTTGTGAACTCCCATATTGCCGGAATGGGGAGGATTTCAAGGAAGGATTGCACTCCACCATCTTCAAGCAAGCTGAACGAGTAGGAAACATCCCCCTTTGCCTATAGGCAAACAATCTCGATCCTCTCCTTCACCTAGCTGCATGACATCGATGACATGAATAAGGTCCATCCAATTGTCTATTTCCTAGTCAAAGAGGCCTCTGCGAAAGCCTAAGTCCCAATCATTCTCATTACCATTCCAACATTCGGCAATCGTAGCCTTTTTCTTTGTGGAGAGGTTAAACATGTTAGCGAAAGTGTTTTGGAGAGAACTTTCACCGAGCCATTTATCAGACCAAAACTTAATCGGTTCCCTTTTTGGACTTTGAACTTAAGGAAATTGGAGAAGAAGACACTGTTTTTACTTATATCAAACCAAGGCCTACCTTTATCTCTCCTTTTGGCGGAAGTGTGGACCACTTATGAATATCGTCTCTGTAGATGCTCATAATTACCTTTCTCCAAAATGCTTCGTTTTCCTGAGTGAATCTCTGGTGTACACAATTTAGGTAGAAATCTTGAAGAGAATTATATTCATCTAAACACTGAAGTCCAGCAGCTATTTATAGGGGCTGCTGGGATAATAACTACACAGTAACTAAAATAACAGCACCTAAGGACTAACAGCTTAACTAACTAACCAACGTAACCTACTAACTACATCAATTTCCCCCACCCTTACAAATAACTCGCCCTCGAGTTAAGGGTGTATTTGAAAGGAATCTGGTGGACCATAAGCGTAGAGATCAGCTACGTTAAATATGGGGCTGAAAGTGTAAGTTGGCGGAAGCTGAAGCTTGTATGCATTCGATCCGAAGCGCTCGATTACTTGAAAGGGTCCCAATTTCTTCTTTTTGAGCTTAGAGTAGGTCCCTGTTGAAAACCGGCTTTTCCTTAGATGAATCATGACTAGGTCACCGACTTGGAATTCTTTCATTCTCCGTTTCTTGTCAGCTGCAGCTTTGTATTTGGAATTGGATTGTTCAATGTGTCGTCGAACCTCTTTATGTAACTCTGTTACCCGACTGGCCATTTCTTCTACTTCTAGGCTGAGATCAACAGAGGAAAGGAGGTTAGTCAAATCTAAAATTAATGTAGGGAGTTTAGTGTAGACTACCTCAAATGGGGACTTCCCTGTAGTTTTATTCTTCATATGGTTATAGGCAAATTCAGCTTGAGCTAGTGACATGTCCCATTGTTTAGGATGATCCCCGCTGATGCATCAAATGAGGTTTCCCAAAGATCTGTTGGTGACCTTTGTTTGGCCATCAGTCTGTGGGTGACTTGTTGTGCTAAACTTGAGTGACGTATCAAATTTCTTCCATAGTGTGCGCCAAAAGTGGCTTAAGAATTTGACATCACGATCCGAGACTATGGACTTAGGAATGCCATGGAGTCGGACAATGTCTTTAAAAAATAATGTAGCTATGACTATTGCATCGGAGGTCTTTTTACATGCCGCAAAATGTGCCATTTTGCTGAAGCGATCTACTACCACCATGACAGAGTCGAATCCCCGTTGTGTTCGGGGTAGCTCGAGAACAAAATCCACGGACAGATCCTCCCATATACTTTCGGGGATTGGTAAAGGTGTGTAAAGGCCAGTATTTTGCGTGGTGCCTTTATATATTTGGCAAGTAAAGCACTTGGTGACATAGTTAGAGACATCCTTGCGGATGTGGGGCCAATAGAAACGAGAAGCGACGATGTCCAATGTTTTATCACGGTCGAAGTGCCCTGTGTCACAATCGCACCTTTTCAAAGCAGCTCGAGAGATTGTGCGGCACTTGCTCTAGCTCAAACGAGCAAGTCAGCCGAGAAAAACTGTAAGTTGCGGGCAATCTCGGTCGTGGGTCTAGCCTCGCTCACGTTTTACGAGAAAATTGGTTTTAGAAAACGTGAGAGAGAAAAACAGTTGAAAACATCTTTAAAACAAGCATTGTAGACATTGGATGCAAGAAAGCTTTGATTGCAAGAAAGTATACAGCACTTGGTCGGGGGGAGGTTTGATGACTACTTAGTCCCCCCAAGGTACATTATAAGGCATTTTTGGTGTGGCAGGTATAGACGTCCTAAGTGGCGAGGAGTCACTTGATGGCCTACAGGGCCCGTGCGAACTCCGATTGGCTTGAAATTTGGCGTGCTTACATATCTTACTAATACACACCTAGTTCCAAAGCCACTCGGCCAAATTTCACCTACAACCCCAAAAACCCGATACAAGAAAATTACACTAGAAAGCTTTAAAGACATGAAAGAAAAGCGAGTGGTGAGGATGGTTTGGACATGCGGCCATGGGTAACACACCCTGGACAAGCATGCCCACAACACCCTGCAAGGCCACCCGTATGAGCATCCCGCAAAATAGCCGCCCGTAAGGAAGTGTGCGGGACACATAGTGTATTTCCTTTGAATAAGTATCCTTCCACAATATGGTAGTCGTCGATGGGCATATGATTAGAACATTTGTACCAAATGTCTTGGAAGTCTTTATCGGTTTCATACAAGTCCGGTAGATAGTCAAAGGCAATAATTTCACCTTTAAGGATGGTTAATAGGTTGTTCTTCCGGCTCAAAGCGTCTGCCGCTTTATTGGTTGTTCCCGCTTTGTGTTTAATCACAAAGTCAAATCGTTGGAGGAAAGACAACCAACGGGCATGCATACGGCTTATTGTCTTCTGAGTATGCAAAAATTTTAAGGAAAAGTGATCCGTAAACAATACAAATTCTTTGCTTAGAAGATAATGCTCCCATTGTTTTAATGGACGGACAAGGGCATAGAGTTCTTGTTCATATGTGCTCCACTTTTGACGGGATGGACTAAGTTTCTCACTAAAGTATTCTAGAGGGTGATTATGTTGAGAAAGGACAGATCCTATACTAATACTGGATGCATCTACCGCTACTTCAAAAGGGGAATCAAAGTTTGGAAGGGCAAGGACAGGGCTTTGACAAAGTTTAGTTTTAATGAGATGGAAACTTTCCAGTTGTGGTTGTCCCCAATAAAATTGTCCCTTTTTAAGGCAGTTGGTTAACGGAGCTACTATCAAGCTAAAGGTTTTAATCAATTTTCTATAAAATGATGCAAGCCCTAGAAAACATTGGACATCTTTAACTGTTTTAGGTTCCCCCCATTCGGCCATGGCTTTAATTTTAGAAGGGTCCATCTGAACTTTATTATGGCCAATGATAAAGCCTAAGAAATGATATTTCAGTAGTGACAAACAGACACTTTTTAATATTGATCACTAGTTTGTTAGAGGCCAAAGTGGTGAAGAGTAATTTAAGATGTTCTAAGTGGTCATGCATGTTAAGGCTATAAATGAGAATATCATCAAAGTAAACAACAATAAATTTGTTAATGAAAGGGAACAAAACCTGGTTCATAAGTCTCGTGAAGGTACTGGGAGCATTAGATAACCCGAATGGCATAACAAGCCATTCAAATAAGCCCTAATTCGTCTTGAATGCGGTTTTCCACTCATCGCCGGGTCTAATGCGAATTTGGTGGTAGTCACTCTTGAGATCAACCTTAGAGAAGATAGTAGCGCCTCCCAATTGGTCCAAAAGATCCGTAATTCTCAGTATGGGAAACCGATATTTCACTGTTATTTTGTTTATGGCACGATTGTCGACGCACATTCGCCAAGTGTCGTCCTTTTTTGGAGTTAAAAGGGCGGGCACCACACAAGGGCTCAAACTTGGCTGTATATGCCCCTTATCAAGTAACTCTTGGATTTGGTCATGAAGTATCTTATATTCTGATGGGCTCATTCGACAATGTGCTAAATTAGGGAGTGGTGCTCCTGGTAAAAAATCAATGTTGTGTTGTATGTTTCGAAGAGGGGGCAGTCCCGTTGGTGTTTCCACAATGAACTC